ACTAGAAAGGAAAATGGCCAATGGTTGTACAGTGCAAAAGCAATTGAATTGATTCGCAATTATATGATGAAATGCCCCAACTTATTCGAACGTTTAGCTCAAAACGTAACAAATGACATTTTCCAAGAAGAGGAGTTATTCAACAAAGAGTACGTTATATTTTATTACTTGCATTTTACCTTATTTGATTAAAATTTCTATATAATAATACATTACGTAGATCGGACGAGCTGAAAGATACAGTCGCATGGCTGAAAACACAATTGAACGGTATAGAAAGTCGTGCCTGTGGCATGGATATCGTCGAAACGGAATTTGTAAAACAAATTGAGCAAGAGATAGAAGAATACCTAAAGATTCAAAATATCAAAGAGGTCTTTATACAAGTGAAACCACAGTTGCTCTTCAAGCCGGGATTACACCTGCGTAGTGTGCCGCCTGATCCGAATTCCCAGACTCGTTTGTTTGACAGGATACGCTGCGTTCGAAACGGTTTCAGCGTACCGCTCGGAGTCAAGGGTACTATAATAGGAATACGAAAGGCGAACAATCCGGCGGATATTATGTACGATGTTTTGTTTGATCAGCCTTTCATCGGTAAGAAAAGCACATAATTTTCTGAAATATGAAAAAAAAAACCTTAGAATTCTGTTTAACGATTTATATATTACAGGCGGACTTACATTAAGCGGTTGCTCTGCGTCTCGCGGCTATCGTTTGGCAGCTACAGATTTCGTAAATATCAGCTTTGGCGAAAGAAGCGAGCAGGGAAATCCAGCAAACGAATCGACAGATTGCCGCAAACAAATCGCGAATCCAGCTTCTCCTAATAAAAAGAGCGATCAATCGTCGAAGTCGTATCCGCAAATGCAACTTGCTAAGAAAGGACTTGAAAAATTAAGTCGAGATATTCGTTTGGGCATAATGGTACAACAAAATGCGGTAGAATCAGGTTCAAAAACGATGCCTTACGCGACATTGCCTCAAAATCCCCGTCAGAACGCGCCACCTAATCAAACGACCGAATTCCAAGCGATATGGGACGAATTGCACAAGATACAGGTACAATATAACGATGTAGATTTACAAAATTGTTTCACGAATCTTATAGATCTTTGTTATATGATACAGAAGCCGAATGGGCCGCCCGAAAAAATACTGTCGAATCCAATGATGACGTCAATGAAGGTCAAACCATTCAATAACAATCACAATATGCAATCGGTAAATATTGTTGGATATTATGTACTAGTGTGTTGAAAAATTATACATGTTTTATCTATCACTATTTCCCCAAAAAACAGCCACAAGATCCTAGCGCATTTTTGAAAGCTATGCTAAAGATTCCCGATGTAAATGCGCAAACAAGTAAACAACAGAGCAAACACTCTACATCCGCGATGACGCTTCAGAAAGCGACAGTTTCGCAAAAAGATCAAACATTAAATCCCCCACCTTTGGTTCAACAAATGTTTGATGTATGTCTATCTATGTCCTATTGTTATATAATGTTTTATACATACATATATACATACATGTGTGTGTGTGTGTGTATGTATGTATATTTATGTATATATGTGTACATATATATATATGATTTGTTGTTTGTAATTTAAAAAAATAGCTACATGTATATCCGTTTAATAATTTAAATTTTGTAAAATGTGTATGCTATTTTTCAGCACGCCCGACGAACGGAAGAGAAAAAAGAGAGAACCCATTCAGTTTGGTATAGCACACAATTATTGCAACATTTCTCGTATAGTGGAGCTGGCATACCAAAATATAATTATATCATCGATGAAAAAACGGGTTTGATTACCGCTCACATTATGATAGATCATGCAAGAGTTTTTAAGGGTGATCCTTGCATTAGTCACGAACTAGCCGCGGAAAGTGCTGCAAAACGAGCGTATAAGGTAACTATAATAAATGTATAAAAAATTAATTTTAATCTTTTTTTTTTGTATTAATATAAGTATGATTATTAGGCGTTAAATTTAAGTAAGATATCGACACATGATGCGAAAATGACAATGGCACCTCGAGCACAGTGGTATAATAATCAACATAGTAATTGGGTCCAAAATATTCGACCTCCTATACTGCCTATGGGACCTCCGAAAATGCCATCGATTCCGCAAAACCTACTTATGCAGCCTAATATATTCTATCCGAAATGGAACCAGAAATTACCGCCAAATCCAGCGTTCGGACAAACCGCATCGTATAATCAAGGTAGACAACAACCAATTAAACAAGGACAACAAAAAGGTCCTCAAAATGGACCGAAAATAGAAATCAAGAACAGTACCACGTTTGTGCCGTTACAAGCACAGAAAAAGAGCAGAAACGCCAGTGTAAAACAAGCTGCAAAAGAGACCAATCCAAATGTCAAAAAGAATTCGAGTCCTAAAATGCAGCAACAGCAAAAGAAAGAAGAAACGTCACCCAAGGTTTGTAAATAAAAGTTATATCGTTTTTTATCATGATTCCCAACTCGAGTTATTAAATCAATTTTTTTTTACGCAGAAAGAAAAACAAGAGGTTATAAATAAAGTCAGAGAAAAGATGTTAAATGAACCACAACAATCACCGCAACAACAGCTGCAACATAACACGGGAAAATCGTCCAAGCCCAGGAAATCGCGCGTCGCCGCGAAATTCGGTTCGCCACCTTTATCAAATGGCAGTGAACCTCCTCAGTGAAAATTCTATCTTGTAAGATAGGGTAATTTTTGCAAATTATATATGTACATACAAGATAATAATATTGAAATCCTATCACGCGTTCGTTTTCTACATTTTATAATAAAAATGAATAATTTTTTTTTGAAGATTTCCAACGGGCCAGTTTATCTTTTATTGTGAAGACTTTTACATTGGTGCATTTTTTCGTACTCAGATATAAGCACCAAGTAATAATTTGTAGATCCTTTCTCAAAAGAAATGTACATATACACTCTGAATTTATATACGTAACATACGTAAAGAATGTAAGTGAGAATAATTAATTAATTGTTCATTTTGTATCTTTTACATTTACTACGTATCATTTGTATCCATGAATTCTTATGTTTTGATTTTAGTGCGATATTTCATCAAAACATTCTATGATTATATTTATTTTATTTTTCTATGAGAGTGCTCGTGAAAATTACTTATTCAGAGATATATTAATATATTTCACGCGCGTCCATCTATAAAAAAATGATAAAATTTAATGATATACACAAAGTTTTAAAAATATCTTTAAGATTTGTTTGATAGTAGTATATTATGTTTTTCTCTCTTTTTTCTCAAATTTTTATTTTATTTTATTTTATTTTATTTATTGAAATATGTATCATGCGCATAATAATCAGTCTATACTAGTCTATCAGTCTATACTTTATTGAAAAAAATTATGCTTTTATTCTTTTATTTTGTATTCTTTTGAAGAACATTTTTTAAATTTATGACATGGATGAAGATTGATTTGCATAAGTGGATTTAATTTATCGTTTAATAATGCGCTATGCGTGATTTAAAAAAAATAAAAATATATCAATCTTTATTATAACATGATTTGCATGTTGATAAACAACATTGTGCATGTTACATACGTAAGCCGATGAGAAAGTGATATTAATTATATATATATATATATATATATATATATATATATATATACATATATATATATATATATATATATATATGGATAGGAACATGTATTCACGACGATTTTTTTTCTTTTTTCTATATTACGAACAGCAAGGAACAAATCAAAATTAAATAGAATAAACTTCAACAATGTTTCAATTTTACTATACAATAAAGAAAGCAAATCATATTATTGAATACTGTATTTATAATTTTATCTTAAATATTGTTTTGAATTATTTTTATGTATGTTTATTTTTATGTGTGTTTCCTTTATTTCATATTTTAAAATTTTTTGATAAATCAGTCACAAAATTTCTCCCCCTCTCTCTCTTTTCTCCAAATCCTATCTGTATTGAATGAATGTATAACAGTTTCTATTAGTACTGGATCTACTCTCTAGTACTATCTTTAATTAGTATTGGAAATTCTATAGATATGTATTCACACATATAAAACCCTTGTTACAAATTATACAAACATTCAGTATTTTCATCATGATAATGAAAAGGATATTCAATATGGTGCAAGTGTTCATTGAATTATCTTAAAATTGTCTTAAACCTGATTACAACGATTTCAAAAGATATAAACTTTATTCAACTCGAAATCAAAACGATATAATCGGAAAATGATAACAGTTCTCCAATTTTTACTATTTAAAATATTCTCCCATCGTTCTCTCTTCGCGAATCAGTACAAATATTTTTTTAAATCTATTATCAGAGAGAAAAGAATTATATCGAACTATTATGCAAATTAAGCCATTTATAGGAAATCGTTAATGTTTTGATAAAAAAATGCATTTATACTGCATATCTTTTTTCAGAAGTAGGATATGGGAATAGTTGGCAGTTTTTTTTTCGAAATTGAAGCAGCAGGCAACGAATTTAAATAGTAGACTCTGTTCAGATTTGTAATTGTATTCTCCTTTCTCATCACACTTTTACTAATTACACATTGAGGTATTTTATCTCATTCATTTTCAAAGTACTTCCTTTCTTCTTTTTTTCTTTTATTTCCAAAAGTTACGATTCGAGACGGACGCGATTATATAATACAAAACAAAAACATTTGATAATATATATATATATATTATCAAGTATAAGATATTAAATATATCTTTTTATCTCGCATCACGTGTGATACTACCGAGACATTTCTATATACGCTCTTTAATACTAGTATAATCAATGAATATCATACAATTCAAGCAAATGCAAAATCTGTATAAAACAATATATATACATATATATATATATATATATATATATATATATATATATATATATATTATGTATTTAATAGGAGGAGATAAATTATGTGTGTCAATTTCTGTATATTATCTCTCTTACCTTAGATCAGAACAATTGCCTTAGATCAGTTTTTCGTGTCATTTTTCGTGTATTTTGAAAGTTTTATTGTCACATTCCCTTCTTTTGACGACATTGAATACTAATTTCTTTTAATACTTCGCAAAGTCGTGTTGCTCTTGTTCTCTCCATTAAAATACGTGTCATGTTTTCTCTTTGTAACATTATGGTAGCGAGATTCCTTTGATTCTCTAGCCCGATTCGTAACCATTGCGCAGTCCATTCCGAACAAGTTTTATTCAATGCTAATAAAACTTCAGCATGAGGATCTAAATTATTATGAGGCACTGCTCCACCTATAACAGAAATGAAAGAAAGAAAGAAAAGAAAAAAATGAGCGATTTCGAATGTGTCGCATAGCTTTTACAGATGCGCGAGATATTCGCATACTTACTGACACAATGCAAAATTGCGGAGACAAGCTCCTGTCCGATCGGTTGAATAAACGTTTGTAGATGCGGACTTTGCATAATCGCGTGACTAAGAAAATGACCGGCCGCTTTGGCTGTAGCTGTCTCTGGTAAAATTAAACATGCGATTCCTATAGAAAAAAAAGGAAAAAATACAAATTTAAATATTTTTACGTAAGAATTTAAATATCTTTAAGAATATATATATCGAAATATGCAATTGCGCTTACCGCATTGCAACATGTCTGGTATTTGGTCTGGAATCTGCAGCAATATCCTGGTATTCTTCTTACAGATTTGCGTGAGCACGTCTAAATAAGCCTCCAATAGGTCCGACCATTCAGACAAATCACCTTGCACCGATCTGCACGCCTTCACGCCATTCAATGTTATCGAGCTCATTTCCGCGAGCACCGGGCCTACAACGTTGTCTGGATCTCTCCTAAACAGCAGCACGAGCTGTTTCAATAAATTCAACGCGGCCGGATGCGGCCAGATCTTATACGAAGTTAACAAAATTGGAAGCAAGGGTCGGGCCTCTATCTCCGGCTGTTGCAATGCCGATACAGATCGTTGCGCACATATATGCATCGCCTCCAATGTAGCATTGTCCTGGCTCCACTCGGGATGCACGACAATTCGATTGAACACCGGTAGCACACCGTCCAATACAGCCTTGCCGATCGCGCCTTGGAGAGTTGTAAAGAACATAGTAACCATTTTCAAATAATTTATCACGCCAACTCGCGCCGTAAATAATGGTTGCTCCAATAACTCTTTTATTTTCATTACGCATAGTCCTAACGTCGCTTCGAGATGCACTAATTGCTCTTCCATAGAAGACAATATGTTGAGTAATTTTCCAGCGGCATACATAAGTCGCAAACCTTCTCTACCGCCGGGCTCAACGCTTGGTAATGTCTGACTGATGGTGTGAAGAATGGATGGTGCATAAGGAACGAGATGCGATTCGCATTCCCTGATTAAATCCTTTAGCGCCATACTTGCAAAAGGTGACGTCGTAGAACCTCTGGTCAGTCCTTGAGTAACAAGCTGCAATACTTGTTTTAGCCAAGGCTCAGGATGTTCCCCTATCCATTCGGCGTATGCGCCAAGCGTTGAACAGGCGCACTTTAATACCTAGAGATGAATTTGTTATTACATGTAAGATAATATAGTAATAATAATATAAAATGTATCACATTTTAAAAATTTTTATAAAAAACAATTAAAACTTTTAAATTCTTACAATTATTTTATTTAGTGACAGAAAAAAAAATTTAAGAAAAACTAGTTTTTTACATAATGTTACATCTCGAATATATTTAGATAAAAGTATTCTATTAATATAGAGCATTGAGTCTTAAAAAAATATGGTACAATTCTAATTGTTCAATTATACAGATTATACATACTTCTTCAGGATAAAGATGATAAGGTATGCGAACGAGAATCAAATTTATCAGTGCAGGAATGTAACAATACTCCTCAGTGCCAACCCGTTCGGCTAAAGCTTTGAAAGCGTGCAATGTAGATTCTATTTCAGTCCACGCCAAATTTTCAAGACTCATTTTTTGTCCAAGAAGTGCCAACAGATCAGTACCAAGAACTTTATAACAATAATCTAATGTATCTACCACGTCCTGCCTGTAACATCTGAACATTTCGCGTTCTTCCGCATTTCCTCCCTCGCTCGGGGATGCAGGTAATGTGGATTTTCGCAACAATGCCTGGGCCAATCGAAAATAAATGGGCTTCAACACTTCTAAAGCTCGATTTTCCAATGGTTCATCTAACGTCGAAAGATCGTCTTGTAACGCGTACCAAAATCCAAATGGTATAGAACTACGTGTCTCTTCCGTAGGATAACGACCTTTTTGCTCCGAGCAATCTAACAATAATTCAATCAAATGCATGGCAGTCCACGCGTGCGTCTCGTTAGAATTCTCAGCGAGAGCGATGAGAAACGCTCGGCTATGAGCCTCTCCGATGGCAGTTAGTATCTCGCAGAAATATTTTCTGTCGTGTTGTTTCGCCATCGATACTAAAGCAGTAGCCCATTCCCAAAACATCTGAGGCCGCTTGTGAAGTTCGCAACGTGTCACGATCATAGTTAAACAATCTTGTACTATTTCCCAGTTCTTAGTATTCTCATCATCGTCATCTCCTCTATAATGGAAAGAGTAAATATTATTTTACATTATTTAGAGTAACTCATATATATTTTTATTATTTTGTCTATCATTACATAATTAAAAGTTTTACAATAACCAACTTATCTTCTCTTCTTTTAATATATAATTATATACCTATTAGGTGCATAGTGAGCTGCAGCCATTAATAAATAAGGATAGATTTGGCCAGTGGTTTCTAAAGGTAACTGATCGATGATCTTGAGCCATGATTGAGCGCATTCCAGTCCCAAAATGTACAATGTGCTATCTTTACCTTCAGAATTCGGACTACATATTGAAAAGACTTGTTGTAGGAGCCACACGGTTTGGCACCAGCTATTAATTAAGTAGACAACAGCATCCCGCAAATTGGCACTTTTTACTTCATGTTTCTTTTTATACTAAACAAATAATTGCAATCATCATAGAGTAAAAATTAAATAAAAATTATATATATTTATATATATTTATATACCTCTGCAGGCAGTATTACAAGTACTCGAAGTAACAATTCTAACGCAGATGGAGAATAGGGTACAATATTAAACAATTCATCGACTACACTTTTATTTCTTTCCCTGTTTTCCGCACTGTGAATATTAACTACAAATGCAGCTAACTAAAATTAGAGCACATTAAATAATTTATTATTATACAGGATGTCCGGAAAATCGCCCACTGTTGTACTTCGGGAAGTAAATCGGGACCTTAAAAAGAAGGTAAAAAAAGCTATATAAATTAGCTATATAAACATAGCTCCAGAAATAAGTCGTTTCTGAGTTATAGCCACTATGTTAAAAAAAAAACATAATTTATAATTCGCTTGGCGTCCCTCTTTTTTAAATTTTTTTAAAAAACTTTAAATTAAATTTAAATGTTAAATTTAAATTTTTAAATTTTAAATTTAAACTTTTAAATTTAAAAATTTAAGTTTAAACATTTATTATAGCTTTGTTTCCTTCTTTTTAAGTTCCGAATCATCCCATTTTGAAGTACTGTGGATGATTTGCCAAATACCCTGTATAATGGATTATATATAAATATTGTGAAATTATTTGTATTATACATATTTATATATTACCGCTTGACAAAGCTTTGCAAAGACAAATATAGGAGTGTTGGTTCCTCTCATACTATTGAGCAAACGTTCTTTTAACATTGGATACTCGATTTGAGGCACTTCGTCCCATTGCTTGGATATCTTTGCATGTAAAGTTGTTGCCGCAAAAAATTGCACTTCAGATGACTGTAAAAATAATACAAGTCAAGAAAGACGAATTAATTCTAAATCACTGTTAAAATACTCAAAATGTTTTCGACTCGTTTTCTGATTATAGCTACATTGGTTTTTGGTTTAAAACTAATGTCAGTAATCATCTAATTCTGCTCATTCCTAAAATATATATAGAATTGTAGGACTATCGCATGAAAAGTGTAATAAGGAAAAATAAATTAGCAGCTTTATAAAAGACAGAAGCCACAAAATACAATCGCGATTAACCTTAGAGGGATCCAAAAGTTGCCATACAAAATGCCAAGCCTCGGGGGAGGCTTGCACCTGCAAAAGCCACGAATGAGCTTCATCATTGCCCATCGAGTAGAATTGTTTGATCGCGTCGTCGACAACCGTTGCATAATCCATTCCAAACTTCTTACGCTACGTCGTTGTTTCGACAACGGAATATCCGTCACTCTTATTAGGACAGTTCTATAAGGAAATCCAACACGCCTGTCAAAATGTTGTTTGTGTATTTGATTCGTATTATTGACGCATTTTTTTAGTTTCTTATCATCTTACTTCGCGAAAATTAATCGAGCGTTTGCCATAACATAACATTGCACAATATAATCCTGATCTAACCTAACTTAAATTGACCTAGTCCAACTCAACTCGGTCATGTTTCATATATAACATAGAGTAACGCCCACTTGAAGTTAAAAATGTTTCGAATCTAATTTGATTGGACGATGATGAAATCAAAGATTTCAAAGATCCTGATTGGCCACTCAATTGACCGGAACAAAATCAGAAATTATACACATTACCCTCTGAGAACATTCATGGGCATTGGCTTTATAGTTCATGTCCACGTTTTCATGTCCATAGAGGGAGTATCGCTTTCAGGGCCTAAAAGCAGATCATGACATTTCTCAGTCTTCTCTCTGACTCAACAGTTGAGCAATATTACTAGATTTTCCGATGTAATTCGACGCTGATCGGCTGGATCTGAAAGTAGAAACCAATCACGTTTGATTGCTACTTAGTGGTTGAATTGGCTGAATGCAGCCATTGATCGAAATAATAAATAGCGTTTAAAGTACTCTAGGGAAATACGCGATCCTCGCCAATGACAGGGCTCGAAAAGTAACTTGGGCCGGTATTCATAGTCCGGTCTTACATTTAAGATCATCTTAAGTTCTCATTCTACCAATCAATGATTGCATTGTAGCTATTTGATTGGTTGAATGAGTTCTTAAGATGATCTTAAATGTAAGACCGGACTATGAAAACCTGCCTTGTTGTTTATGACGTCACCGTGATGATCTGAGAATGACGAAGATGATTGAGAGAGAGAGACAAGCCTGAAATCTTGTAAATTATACTGTGAAGAGTCATGATGTCGAAAACAACGGCCGCGTAATTGAAAAAAATGAAACGAATTGTGTCGTGACGTTTCGTGAGAGGCCTCCTGTGCTTAATCAAAAAAACACTCAAGGTTTAAAATTCCATCGCCGACAAATATTCGCGTATCCAAATGGTTACGATCTCGCATTATTATAACCTACGCCGTATATGCGAACTTTGTATCAGCTGATGGGCTCGATGTAACTGCGCGCACAATTTTCTGCCGGATTGTCCAAATATTTCGTCTCCACGACTCGCCGGGAAAAAATTCGTCATGGCAGATCTCGCTTTAGGAGAGCTCAGTGGCGATCAAACTGAGAAAGTACTCCAATTCCAGGTATCTTGTCGCGTTCTTAATTTTGAAGTCACGAGGGTCGACATTTATCCTCGTGCAATATCACGACATGACATAATAATCGTTTCCAGGATCTCACCCGTATAGAGGATCTATCAGTATGCAGAGATGTTTTACAGAGACACAATTGGAATCTGGAGGTCGCTGTCCAGGTATGCTGCATTATTTTTTAAATCTCAATTCATTTTTTACATGTCCCATAATTTCCAATATTTATTTTTATATTTTAATATTAATGAATCTAATATAAGTAAAGAATATTTCTTCTTTCTCAATGATTAATATATTAGCATATATATCTGATTCCATTTATATAAGTTCAATTAATGCCTCATACATATATACAGAATTTTGATTTGTATGATTCAAATGACTCTTACATTGTAGGAACAATTAAATTTATACGAAGGTAGACCATCTATGTACGCACAGGATTCGCGTGCTCGACCTCCACAAGTTGTAGATGACAGTAGTTCGAGAATTTATTTTAGTTATCCAGGAAGTTCTGGTGGAGGTGGTGGTCTTTTATCCTATATTTTTTCTATGTGTTACAACATAGTGAGCAGTATCCTACAGCTGTTGTTTGCAATATTTAGGAGGAATGTTAGACCTGGTAAATAACAGATATGACAAATGATCTGTTTTGTTATTTTGGCATATTTTTTTCTTACAAGACATCCTTGTTTAAAGCAAATCTAAATTTTAAATAATTGCATTTCGAATTTTTCTATGTATATTATTTAAATTCTATTCAAATCTTATCTAATGAATATAAATTGATAAAAATTAACTTTGATAAGATTTTAGCAATTATATTTCTTGATCATATATATATATATATATATATATATATATATATATATATATATATATATTATATATATATATCGATTTACATTTGTACATTAGAATTAAAGTCAATAAATAATGTCTTTTAAGTATCCTCCGATCCAGTGGAAGATGTAGTCAACTTTATTAGGTCCTATGAGGAACGTTATAGTAACATTCATCCAGTATTTTATCAAGGTTCATACAGCCAAGCTCTTTCTGATGCAAAACAAGAATTAAGATTTTTGTTGGTATATCTACATAAGGATGAGACACAAGAAGTTGACCAATGGTGCAGGTAATCTTACAACATTACTTCCTGAAAAATAGCGCTTATACACATGCATACATATCATAAGTGATGCAATATAGCAAGAAAAATATGCCTTTTTTTTTTTAGAAATACACTGTGTGATCCAGAAGTGATACGGTATATAAATATACATACTTTGTTCTGGGCATGTAATGTGAAATCTGGAGAAGGTTACAAAGTCGCGGAAGCGCTGAAATCAGGTTCATATCCCTTCTTGGCGCTTATTGTACTGAAAGACAGTAGAATGACAATAGTTGGTCGGTATGTAAAGCTATTCGTTTATATGCACTTTGAAGTAAACATTTAATTATTTTTCTGAATGTTCACGATTTAATTGATTGTTTCGTTTGTATAGATTAGAAGGTGCACCATCTTCCACTGATTTAACGTCACGTTTACAAACAATTATAGAGCGCAATGAAATTAATTTGATCCAAGCACGTCGGGAGAGGTAAATAAGACTAAAATTTTAGAAAATCTCAATATTTACAAAAAAGAAAAAGAAGAGATGTATCTAGCATCTGATAAAACTTGTGCTTTTTTTAAAATCTATATAAAATCAAGAAAATAGCATCATCTATGAATTGTTTTTTTATGAATTTTAGAGCAGAACGTAGCGCGGCACAATCGCTTCGACAACAACAAGATCGCGCTTACGAGGAATCATTACGCGCGGATCAAGAGAAAGATCGCAGAAGAGAGGAAGAGCGAAGAGCGCGGGAAGAGAAAGAGGCTCGAGAGAAGGAACAGTTGAATGCACAAGAGCTAGAGATACAACGTATACAACTCGAGAAGGAACTTACTATTGGCAAAGTACCTCTCGAACCGGAACCATCTAATCCAAACGCATGTCATCTTCAAATTAAGCTTGGAGAGAGGACAATGAAAAGAAGATTCCTTATGACTGATACAGTTGAGGTAATTCACATGTGATGTAATCGTGTAAATATATGGATTAGAAATATTATTTATATAGTTGATATATGCAAGATGAAACATTTGCAAAAATTATTTGCTTGATATTTGCATATGCTTGGAAATTGTTTTAACAATTACTTGCCAGATTGACTTTTATCATGTAGAAAATAAAAATATAAAACTATATTTTTTCTATCTTTCTCATTTTACAGGACGTTTATCACTGGATATTTAGTCAATCGGATTCTCCAGCAAGTTTTGAAATAACAACGAGTTATCCCAGAAGAATCCTCTATCCTTGTAGGGAGATCTTAACTTTATTGGATGCCGGCTTAACTCATAGAGAGGTTCTGCACATCAACGATCTAGATGACTAATTTACGATCGTTATTTCATCAATACAATATTCTCCGAATTTTAGTGTCATTCCATGGGAAAAATGATACTGTTATAAGAGACATTTATCAAGAGATAACAATACGAGCTCATGCGCGAGTACGTATATACACACACAAAATACACATATACACGTGTGTATATATTATATATATATATGTATATATATATGTATATATATGTATATATATATATATATTTATATTTATATATTTATATATATCCACACATACACATATACATATATATATATATATATACACACACACACACACACATATATATATATATTTGATACATTCTAGTACTTTATGTGAGATATAACTTACTGAATGAAAAAGAAGTACGATTACAATTACGTAAGATTGTCATGAAATACACAAAAATATAAAAATCAAAGAAAAAAAAAAGAAACAAAGTATTTGTTACATTGCAGCTCATTAAAATTACCAGTGTTAATAATTGATACATTTATAGTGCACCAAAATACATTCAAAAATATACATTCAAAAATAGTAAGAAAAAATTATATAAAAGTAAGAAAATGTCTATTAAATGTTAAAAATTTTCTGTATAACAAACGGGCGATTTCATGAGTGAAAATTATACAACAAATTTTATTTCTTTTATATCTTCTAATTTAACATTCTCGTGAAATTAGGACATATACGATAAATATATATATGTAATATATAAACATATTTCAATATTTGGAAAAATTCCGGTACACTCAAATTCGTTTTGTTTTTTTATTTTCATTTATTTTGTTTGCTCATTTTCATTTATTTCCTTTGTTCATGAAATGTACACCGATTTTGTTTAATATATATAAATATAAAAAAAAAGAAAGCATCTTGCATAATATTACGCATTTAAACACAATCAATTTTTTATCGACAGCAGGCGCATTCTTATACGATATAAGTATTTATTATCAAGAAAAAAAAATTATTTTATTAACATATACTAATAACATATATTAATAATATATATGTAGAAAAATTTTTAATAGAAAATACTTATTGACTGTGATTATATATTATATTCCATGTTCAGCTATTGTCTTAAGATATACAAAAACGTGATACAAAAAAAACGTATCGCATTTTATCAAATATCAATCGAGCATCATATTTATTTATGGAACGATAACAAAATTAACAAAATTCCGTTTCATAATTTTACGTAATTGATGCCTGCTGCTCTAATAGTTTCTTGTTTTTTTATATAGTGTACATGTATGTATATGTATATATGTATATATATGTGTGTACATATATATACATATGTCATTTATACATATAATATATATATACATATATGTACATATATCTATACACACAAAAGTTTCAATGCATTTCCATTCTAGTCAAATGTTTTTTCACCTAATTGCAAGATATATTTTTTTTTTAATTTTGTACATTTAGTGCTGGATTATATGTACAAATTCATTGTTTCATCATAATATGCTGTATGTATTTACAGTAAATCAGTGTAAATACGATTGAAAGAGCAGAAATATTCCATACTCTGTTAATGATATTTATCAGTATTTTTGATAATTGTTGAAAAATATTATAATACAATAGCAGATTTGACAAAACTTATAGATTTTATCAATTTTCGATAATGTATTTTTCTATCGTTTTTTAACAAATAAAATACCAACACACATGTTAACGCAGTACGGAATACTGCTGGGATTCGGAAGAATTCAGAGAATTATTTGTTGAATCTTGCTGATATTCTACTTCGAATTTTTGGATTTTGGTGATACTTTTGCCCTCTCCTTGGAGTACTGCGCACGACTGTATGCGCGCAGAGTATTATATACCTTATTGTTCAGTTTGACATCAAACCCACCTGTGTCTCCTGTGTGAATACCTGGTGGAAATTGCAATACTCGACAAGCATTTATTCTGGAAGACATTAATATGTCATGTTTTGTAACAATCTGAGAATCTTTGCCCATCTTCTTATAACCGCAACGTGGTATCGAAGCATATTCTTTCTCTATACTCTAAAAAAGAAATGTAAATATAAATATTTTACAATATACAATAGAATATATAAACAAGTTCTGTACATGTATATATTCTGTATATGTATCATAGCAGAGCACTTACAACAAAGCGATCAAAGTCTCTGTTGTTGTCATCCACATTAACTTCCATATTATCTTCATCCTTGGCATCATGCAAAGAGTTACGGTAATTACTATACGAAATACTCACTGGAATAAGAAAAATAACTTTAAATAATAGCGCGTGTGTGCATACAAAGAATTTTGTTCTTCTTCTCTTTTCTTATCACCTTTCGAATCGCGATTAAATTTTTTTTCTGTGCGTTTTAACATCGTATCGTACTCCCGATTAAATTGAGCTTGCAATAAATTTGCTATAACTTCATCACTACCGGTATCGCTCGCATCATACGTTTCTCCCATATTTTTATCCGTCCGTTTATTCGCGTCGTCGTCGTTGAAATAGTTCAACTCTCTGTGAGTGACAATACAAAAATAACTTTAAACACGTAATCACACAGATCGAATGTTAATTTTATGTTTTTATTTCAATTTTGAAAAACGTAGTAACTTGAGATAATATTATTGCAATAAAATGATCCGCACAAATTTCATCGAAGGGCATAATCTTATAAATTATCAAAATGTATAACAATATGCTGTCAATGTATACTTTTCACGATAGATGTGTGTATTGCGTGCGTTATAAGAAATTAAAGATATTCATTATTTTCTACATATATGAAAATTTATTCGATACAGATAAAGGATTCCTCGAAGAAGAATCTGCAATATTTATGTACCTCTCTTCCATACTCGCGGCCAGCTGTTCTGATGTGATATCCAGCAGATTGACAGGATTTTCCAGAGGTTGGATTTTCGCCCATACTTTCGGAGTTGCCATTGCTTTTATTAAGATATATTTAATCGAAATGAAATTGAAGTCGTATGAGCACAATCGCACAAAAATTGGAGAAATAGGTGTAAAAGATGTGTGATTTTCCTCTTAGTCTCTTCTCTTTGTCTTCGAGAGAACGTCTGAAACAATGTTCGGCAACCTGATGAAACAGTGTAATCTTTCTCGCGAATCTATTGATGATAAAACAGAATTTCTATGATTCATCGGTAATATCTTATAAATAGAAATCATATTTTTTTATATAATACTTATCTTTTAAAAATACCAAACAAATATTTGGATAAAATTTTATTACATACAAAAAGTTGTGAGTATTCGTTATAAAAGAAACTGTATGTCCTTGACTTGATTACATGCTTATACATTATCTTCACTTTTTATATCCATTTTATTTCATATTAGATGCGTAAAATAAAAAATATATATATATATATATATTATATTATATATATATATATATATATATATATATATATTAAATATTAAAACAAGTAAAATATTTTAATTTCTGTGATGCTTATTACAGTGACATAATTTGTTGGTGAAAAAACGAATACCCACCTTTAATTATTATTAATTTATTCCAGTAGATCTAATACATACACAAACTGATTCTTTTTTTTGTCTTTTTAATAATATTCCATTCACTCCATTTCGCGTATCTCAAATCGTCCTCCAAATTCCATAGCTAGAGTCTAAAACCTAATCTTACAAACTTAGCTATGCCAAACGGAATGATTTGGCAAGTTCATTAACGAGAAAGTAAAGTGGTTCTCTATGGTTTTAGGGTAGAAAAAGACTGAACAATACACGCATATGTTTACTCAAGGTTGTCGATATTTTGTTTGCGCGATCGCATGTTTACTCTACGGTAATGCATGGGGCACGGATGGTGTCTTTCAAAAATTTACAAGATTAGTATCGTAAGTCGTACGTTATCGGGTGATTTTTTTTATACGATACGATGATCTAATATTATGTACAAAGATATTATCGATGTCATACATATATATGTAAAGATAACTTTATGTCATACATGTATATGTAAAGATAACTTCTACATTTATTTTCAAACTATATAAACATCAATAAAATGCACAATGTCATGTTGTGTGAAACTTTGATTTTAATATAAAACAAATCTAAAAAAAAAAAAAAATAAAAACGACTCTCTATTTTACTTACACAGCAAAAATGCATTGTTAATAAATGTAAAAACAAATTATTTTAGGTAATTGTTATCCCTTTTTCCTTATCAGAAGAGCGAGATAATTCTCCGAATTATCCTAACAAGTACCTAAAATAAGGGAAACAAACAAATTAACGTCGTACAATATATCGTAATAACATATGCAAATTCGCATTGTATTGAAATTATTACAACCCATGCATTACGATAGTGCATATTACGTGGTAAGGTTCCCTTAAATGTCAGTCTTGACCCAACTTGATTGCCGTTGTTCACTTGCAATGAACATACAAATCGAAATAAACCGTGTATGATTGTTGTAAAAGCTTACGGCATTTACATGTAATCTATTGTCGCAAAAATTTGAATTTGTAAATAAATTACATAGTGACAAATTATTTGAATTAGCGCACCTTAAAGGTAACGACATGGAGATTTGCATTGAATTAAAAGGTCTTAAATAGACTTAAGTAAATAATGTACTTCGGTACTCTCATGTGTGCGATATATTAAAAGCTAAACGAGATGTATAAATCATGTCCTTAAAAAGAGAAACTTAAGAAAATAACCTACCTACGTCATTTCTTATATAAAGAACGTATGTATAAATATAGAGAACGTGAACTCTTGAATCTAGATGCCGAATGTACATATAATAAATACAGAAATAATGCAACTCGTAATTTATAAAGTATTGTGTTTTTACGCGCTTGGAAATCGCCTCGTATTCTTTTTCTAGAAAAATTCAGCTAAAAACTGCAATTTACGAAAAATAATATTACAGCGCAAAACGATTCGCTCGCGGGACAATTCGATTTGCGCTATTTTTAGTCCTTGTTTGAGCCATTGTATTCCAGCACTTAATATTCAGGCTGTAAATAAATATATTTATTATATATGAGACAAAGATTCATTGCATTTAAAAATTCATAATCAAACCAATCAATAATCATTTTCTATTCTTTATTTCTTTCCTAAATAATTGTTACAAAAATTGTTACATAATCACATCCCATCAATCATTATATTATCATGTTATATTACGAACCTGTAAAACCTTGTGGTGGTTGCCCGGGTACTGAGTATTGTGGTCGGAAGTTACCGAAATTAGCTGCACCCGCAAAGGTGGCTGGCAACTGTCCTCCGGAGAAACCGGCTGGGAATTGTTGCGCCAGCAACGCGGCTTGACCCGTTTGAGAAGTGCTACCGCCAGGTGCCGTCGCCGCTAATCGGCTCAGTATAGATCTCTCGGACATCTGAAGTCTCTGAGCAACCGGTGGAATGCGAGCCAGTGTCGCTGGCAAACGGCTAACATCCGATTTCATATCGGATAGTAACTCCTCTAACTGATTTAACACCTATAAAAGTATAGTTCGCACATTCAGAGATGATTGATATTCATCAAATTTTTGCACTTTGAAAACATTCGCATATCATATTTATTGTTCGATATACAATTTACCAATTTATTAATCGAACCAACCTTATGCAGCACTGCGTTCGCTGGTTTATTACCAGCAAGGCTCTCTTTGCTCAGATGCTGATGGGATTCGGCAAGACATTCAACCTCTGCAAAACGTGCATTAAGACTCATGGCAGGATGATTAGGATCTTGCGTAAGATTCAGGTAGGCAGCTCGCCTCAATTGTTCTTCTATTACTAATGCCTGTTCTAAGAGTTTAAAACGTCTTGCTAGAAATTTATTTTTTATTTCCAAAAAGTTGCCTTTTCCCATATCCATCTTAAATGGCTCGTTGATAATTGCAAATCTGCAATAAGTATAGTAATCGAATGTAGAAACGAAAAAAATTATGAATAACAGTAATTGTTATATCAATCATAAAATTAGAGTTGGAATATTATTCTACGATTTAGAGTTAGAGAAATAAACGTCTCTTGTCATACTTAAATATTCAATATTTTTAACTCGTAAGAAATAGCAATATATAATAAAAATAATTGAAGTATTATCGAGGATTATTTGTTGTCGAAAAGTTTCTATATTACCGAATATCGTTTTGTATATCTTGCCAGCGCCCATAACCGTGGGTAACGATACCAGCTAAAAGCCAATAATCATGTCGGCGATGCCATATATCGTATTCGCGGCCCGGCACTGCAGCCTTCTCTTCGTTCAGCCAAAGCGTATGTAATTCTGTAAATCCGCCATCGGCTATATTAAACATGAACTTACGCTTAGGCTTTACTACATCTGCATCACAGTCCTTTGTATCTTTTTCCTTCTCTTTTTCCTACAAAAAAAAAAGAGGATAGTGTAAATTTAGCTGTTGATAAAATGCACGCTTTTTCATCTAGCATTCCGCATGAATAAATACCTCTTTCTTCTCAACTTCTTCCTCATCGTCCTTGACAATAACGACATCTTCTTCCGGTTCCGATTTCATTTTATTTTCACTATTCTCCATCTTATCATCGTGTTTCGTTATAGTTTTTTCATCCTTTGCGTCAGATTTGTCCTTTTCTTTTTCTGCAGTATCCGTTTCGGCATCCTTTTCTTCCTTTTTGGTATCCTCCTTTTCCTTATCTTTTTCAGATATCGCTTCATCATCCTCTTTCTTCGGATCTTCTTTTGAATCCTTTGCATCGCCACTCTAAAATAAAAGATATTATCATTAACATATTTTACAGGAAGAGTGATAGTAAGATTTTCTGAGTAAATAAACAATATTTCACGAGAAAATTTGATCCATCTGATACCAACCTCTTTATCCTTGGATTCATCTCGACATTCTTTAGCTTCTGAAGACTCGGAATTTGTTTTAGTCTCGTTGTTCGTACAAGAAGTCGAAGTAGGAGTAGGGGTAGCAGCAGGGCTAGGACTGGGAGCATTTGAGGTAGCCGGTGTAGCACTGGTACTACTAGTACCAGTCGCTGCATCTCCGACTCCTTCTACTTTTACTGGTTCTACTGGTTTGCGTATCATTTCCGGCATCGAATAATAACCATTGATGTGTTCAAATTCTTGAACCTGTAAATATATAGCCTGTATCCTTGCTACTTTTAACACGGAACGGAATAAAGGAATTTCATCGTATAATCGATACCTTCTTCCTAATCAAGGACATCACGCCTATTCTTGTCAGTACGTGCTGTCGACTCAGACCCTCTCTCGGAACACCATCGGCGAATGTTTCTGCATTGTCAGCACCTGGTTCGCACAGATGTCGCATAAAAAGCGAAACATACGCTTTGAAGTTTTTCTCGGATTTTCCACGCAAATCCCGTACTAACCTGAATAATAGATGACTTTAAATAGAGAATTATATTACTTAGAAAAGCACAAATATCAAGTCAAATATAAAAAAGTAACAACTATAGCTTCTATTTTATCACGATGTTGTAATGTATTGTGTATATGCATAGCATTTATGATACGTATGTTCATAATATATAATAAAAAATTGTACAAGACGTTCTTTCTAAAACAGATGTATCATGATAATAATTATAAAATAAAACAACTAACCATTGAGAATTGAAAGCATCCTGTGGTGGCATTCCATAACGCATAATTGCATTGAGGAATGCTTTCCGTTGTCTAGCATTAAAACCTAATACCTGTAAAAAATGTACATATAAGTAAATAACTATGTAATATGTATATCTGTTTAATTAGAATGAAAATTATTTCAATATAATATTTTATTCTTCAGTCTCTCTTGCTTGAGATTTTTTTCAAATTTTTATATCTATAGAACTCATATAAATAAAATGTGGAGGGATATGTGAGAAACATTATATAAAATATATATATTCTTTCTAAAAATATTTACCTCGATATTTCCATTTACTCTGGCAAGTAAAGGCGGTAAAGGTCTGTCCTTTTCATCGCGTCTCTCCAATCTTCGTCTGCTTCTACGAGACAACAGATCTCCGTCTCCTTTCTCGTCGAAATCGTCATCCTCTTTATCATCGTCACTGGGTGCACTAAA